CTTGTTCTCTCTGACGTCGCTTTTTCTCGTCCCCCTCACATCTTTTACTTCCGCCTCCGACATCTGGGGTAGTCTTAACTTGAGCGTCGGGTGTTACGGGCACTCTTTCATATCCCGTTGTCTCTCTTTCTCTCTAAATAACCCTCTTCAAATATTATTCCCCTTAAACACACCCTTGTTCTTGAGTGAAAGTGCCAAAATTAACTTGGTCGGATTTTGCCATCTGTTGGGAAATAAGAAACCTTGCAACAAGTCAAAGGAGAGCAACAAGATGAAAAAAAAGGAAGTTAACGTTCGCATAAAGGAAGAGTTGAAGTAAAAACGGAAAACAAAGGAAGATTCAAAATTTAGTCAAAAAAAGGGAAAAATTACAAAAAAATTAATAACTTACGAAAGTCGAAAAAGTTAAAATTTAATAAAATACCCAATGTAAATAAGTTTTAATAATAACAATTTTGAAAACTTTAATGTACACATTTCATTTTACTTTAGAAATGATGAGAAGTGACATTTCACTTGAAAAAACGTAAATAAAAACAAAATTTTTCCCTAATTTTTATCAGTTGCAATATCAGAAAAATAATGAAACTGACATTGCACTAAAAAAAATCTGATAACGACTGATGAATGCCAAGTCACTACGACGTGGTGTAATGGTTAACAAGCTTGTCTCGCTATATCAGTTACCACTGAATTGAGAGTTCAACCCTCACTGGATACCACATGCTTTAGTAGTTAGATCCTCCAATAATCACTCCGACCACTCCTCAGAAGATATCAGTTATATATATATATATATATATATATATATATATATATATATATATATTGATGGCAATAGCGTTTTGTGTGGTAAATATATAAGACAATATGGATTTTCTTTTACTTTCTGCTTCGCCGCGTCATCAGAAAAAAAATTATTTCACAAGACTAAAATCGCCATTAGCAAGACAAAACTCGATTCCTGTTAAGCAGCAATGGTTGGTTTATATTTTAGTTGCATCGTTATCAGTGGCACAGCTAGAGTGTGTGCCGCCTGAGGCATCCCTTGAGTTTGACTACCCACCCTCCGGTCCCCACAAAAATACATAGTGCGCAGTGACTCACTCTCATATATATATATATATGTGTGTGTGTGTGTGTGTGTGTGTGTGTGTGTGTGTGTCACCCCTCACACGCAACCGAACATAGCAAACACAGAATCCTTTTCTTTATCTTTTACCCAGTGGTGTGGTTTCACATTGATTTTTCCAGTGATGTATCTTATTACATTTTAACTTTTTCGACTTTTGTAAGTTATTAATTTTTTGTGACTTTTCCACTGTTTTGAATTCATTCTCTTAGACTGGTTGCCACTCAAGGCTAGAGAATCCAGTGTACCCTGTTATTAAATCTGTAGTTGGCATTCGGGTGAAACTGAACGGAGCAGAAAAGGCGACAATTTGAACTCGCCTTGCTGGATCTATTCCCCGCGACGATAACCATTACGCGACCTTCACATCCATGGTTTGATTGTATATTAATCGTAGGCGACTTATTGATCATTTGACTTTCCGCAGAGTGAATTCTATTCACTTTTTTTATTAAAACGGTATTTTCCAGGTCAAAACTCTAATCCTAAATGTTTCAAGTTGTACAGATTACAACACTTTGGTCCAAGGAAGAGTAAATAGATATTCTTTTCCTCTGTAGAAGTGCCGTTCCATACGCAAATAATCCCGTCATTCATGACGAATAAAATGCGAGTAAGATGTGCAGGTAGTGTAGCGGTTATCATCGCAGAAAATGAAATCGGTGCTCTGAGATCAGAAGCAGCTGCATTTACTTCGCACTAATGCTTCTGGCTGATATTTAAAAATAATGTTTTGGGGAACCGTGCAATTAAAAAAATATATAACTATGTCGGTAAAGAGACTCTTTTGTGCCAAATACAAATGCCTTCTCAAATATTAATGCCGGTGGGAATTTTTCAACTTATAAAATAAGCGTGCCGATTCAAATAAACGTTCTTTTTTTAATATTTATATTAGTTTAATAAAGGTGCTGGTTCAGATAATAAAACAGGTTAATAGTACGAAAGATAATAAACACTGCGCTGGAGGGCGCGGAATGATTGAACGAAATATTTTTATTTTGCCGCCATTTTTGTTTAGTACATAATAATAGTACTAAAGAATTATAGTACTAAAAGTAAGTGAAATGAATAAAAAAGGAGTTGAAAATTAAAATTATGATAATAATAATAAGAAATATCAACCGTTTTTATCCTAATGAAATATATACTTTTTTTAATTATTTGCTATTTTACGTAAAATAAATTTTAGTTGTTACATTAAAAATATTGTTTTGATATTTTCCCCCCACCCCCGCGCCAAAAAACTCACTTTATGTCTAAAATGACACTGGATCGTATTGAATATCTCATGAGCTGATCAATATAGAAAAGTGTTTTCGTAAAAGTCAGATTGAAAGAATTAAGAATGGATGAATGTGTGAAGGAATAAGTTAAATAGAACGAAAGAAAATTAGAAATAATTATTGATAATAATTTTTAAGATTATTATCAATAATAAAGAAAGAAAGAAGGGGTAAAGTTAAAAGTGAAAAGAAAGAATACAAGAAAAATAAATGATAGAAAGAAGGAAGTAGTTAAAAGAAAGAAAAAGAGAAAAATAGAATTTTCATGACTTAGGAAAATATCAAACTAATATCCCAGCATTTCTCAAGGCAGTGGGCTTATTTGGCGGCCTCCATCTCCTCTCTGAGTACATAAGCGATTGTACAGATTGTGATGAGTTCTACAGTACCATCAGCAGGAATAATCGTTGACCTCACCAATAGGGAAAGATGTCTTCATGCATTTTCTGAGGGTAATTAGCGCAAAGAGTACACAAGCTACCTTAGCTGGAATTTGAACTCGGTTCGTTGATTCCATTAAGAGAAGAACAAATAGGGATATGTAAACGATAAAAGCAAAAGATAAGATAAATTCTCAAGAGAAATGAATCCAGAAAACAAGCCAAGAAACAAAGAACTCGAAGAAGGAAATTACAAAATGATAGCAAAACGTACCTTTTGAAGACAATTCTGTTTGATTTTTAGATTAATGTTTTATTTCAAATTAAAAATAAAATCTAAATCAAAAGGAAAATTGTATTTATCTGTGTCACGTAGTACAAAATTCTTTAACAAAGCGCTCAAATATATTTAGTATAATTAATTAAAAACGTTATATATGATTTTTTTAAGTTAGTATTTATCTCACCCACTCGTAAAAAATAATAAAATAAATACCTTATCTCTGATATTAAAGTAATGGTCTGTATTTTTCTGTTTGAAAAATGACCTACATCAAAAAAATTCCTCGTGCATGAAGATTATTATTAACACGAAGATTATTATTAACACGAAGATTGTTATTAACAGTGAGCAAATAGAATCGCACAAATAGCGCTGAAACAAAGTGAGACAATGACAGTTAATCGAAGCGAGGTATCTCAGATCTTAAAAAGTTTTGACCTTGATGATTTCTCTTTTAAGCGCTTAGTTTGGTAGTTTTCATTCATTCATTCGTCCTGGGTCTGACGATAAACTACATCTAGCAGCAAAGCCTCTGATCGGAAGGTTGGCGGTTTTGTGGATCGTGGAACCACCTCTTAATTGCTGTTATTCCCAGATCCACCTTGACCCCGGGGTGATAGCACTTGTTAGGGTCCCAGCTATAGGCAAATAGTGAACAATAATTCAAAAAATAAATAAATAAACAAATAAACGGTACATTTTTAGAATAAAATGATCAACAATAGATTTTTATAGAAAAATGACGATCAATGTAACACTAAAAAAATATAAAAATACATTTTTATAGTAAAATTACCAACAATACATTTTATGATTTACAAACTATATATAAAAAAACATAACTTTACTCTGAAAGCTTAAATTATGTAGAAAATATCTGTAGTTGAAAGCATAAAATTACGTACAAGATATTTAGATTTCGGTATTAAATAATCTATAGAGGTTGATACGCTGCCAAACCAAAATCAATCAACCAACTAATCATTCATTCATACCTATGTGTACGGTCCTCATCGATTGCCTTTTGAATAATTATATAAATATAACTTCTTTTTTCTGGTTTTTTTTTTTTTTTTTTGTTATTGTTTCGTTTTCTAAGTTATAAAAGCAGTATTACTCTTCTTAAAAACGAGTAAATAAAATTATTGCACCTAATAACACTGAAATCGGATCCATAGAACTGAAAAAAATTCTAGTTTATTATTACACGGAATATCTATATAAGAATATAAAACCGCATAAACTTGGTTCACCATTAAGTCCCATCATTTCACAAATCCTTACTCCTGTATATCAATTATATTGATATATTAATAAATACACATACCTTTCCAGACGAGTTGGAAAACCAACAAAACTTAAGTCGAACATCAAACGCTGGTATATGTGTATTTATTAACATATATTTCTTAGCTCTGTCTAATCATATTGAGCACTATTATATCTACACCTCTTGGCTAATTTTGGTAATTATTTATTTGATTAGCAGCGTATGCACGCCAGCACACGTGTATACGATTGCTAATATTCAGTTATCTCATTTACCTAAACCTATACTTATCAATTATATTTAAAACTATAAGCCACCTTGTCGTAGTTATCAAATATAATCTTATTTGACGGCATAAAATGTTTTGATTTGATCGATTCGTTTTCTACAGCTTATCACCCCCTTTGCAGGTTATTTAAAGCCAGAAAATATTTTTAGCTTATAAGAATTTTTTGTGAAGCTAATAATGATTTACTGATGCAAGTCTTACTAATTAACCCACAGCTGGGGGAGAAGGGGTGAATTCATACCTTTCCCAAGGGTATTTGTGCGTAAGTGAATATAACGAACCCAACAGGAATTAGAACTCGGCTCTCCAATTAACAATTCCGATCCGTTATTCATTATCCGAGCCACTCGCACATCCATGCTTACAACATCTGGTATTCCCAACCGGTCACTCTTCTAAGTACTGACCAGGATCGACGTTGTTTAACTTCGGTGACCGTATGGGAACCAATGTTTCAACGTGATATAGCCGTAAGCATAAATGTAGCACTTTTTAATTATTAAGGTATGATCAATCTTCTCTGAAAGGTAGACTGAAATATACTCTTTCAACCTTCTGGCAGTTATCGTCAGGGGAAGTAGAATCAGCGAGCTGATTTCAAGTTCTGTTCTATTCTTTTATGTTCACTTTGCATTGGTTACCTTTGGAAAAACATGAATCTGTTTCTTCTACTCTCGGTTAAATAGTAGTGTAAACTGGACTCTCTAACCTTGGGTGACATTTAGTCTAGGAGAAGGAGAATTCAGAATTCAAAATCGTAAAGAAGACAGTGGGGAGTCACTCCATTATCTTTCTCCAAAAAATCAAAACAATTCACAAGCAATAACGAAAAGAAAGCTGTAAAGAGCCACAAAAATATATGACATTTTAAAAACAAAACTCGAGATATGCCTCTGAAGCTAATAGTGTGTGTATATTTCCTTGCTGAAAAGAGATTAACATTTTTTTAAATTATTAATAATAAAGGGTATTCCGATAACTTAGACCGACTTTAAACTTAATTTACATTTAAAATCGGTTCAAGTTATTCGAACACCCTTTATATTCACCAGATCTGTTATCATTAAACATTTATTATGCTAATTTTAGCAACCGTTTCTTTCTTATATATATGTTTCTTTCTCATATATAAGCAAAGCTCCCGAAAGATCGGGAAGTTTGAACAGCGTACAGGAAAATTCGATTTTTATACTCATCCTAATCTCATCCAATTTTTGCTGCAAGGTTTTATTAAAATTTCACGCGAACATGGATTAATTTTATAAATAAAGAAGATACGAGAAATACGCCTATGCTACGTGTATTTCTGACTCTACATCTTTTAAATCTGGATTTTATCAGTATTGAAAGCTATGCTTAGCTTTGTCTGACACAAGACCACATTAATGGAGGGACCATTGAAAATCAAATTCTAAACTTGAATAAACGAGCATAGGTTACTTATTAAACGCAGCTTACTATAGCAAAAGATCAAATAATGATAGAAAGATGAAGTTAAAGAAATTCCAAGTTGGGAGAGCTTACCGGCCTAGAAAATCATTTTAAATCCTAATTTTTATCTGAGCTCTGTATACAAACTCACCAACAAACGAATCTTAATTTAAGTGCTATATTTCTAAGCACCAGACTGATTCTAAGTACCAGAGGGATTGGTTAATAATATCAACTTTATAAATGAAGGAAGAAATAAAGAATACACATATTTAATACAGACTTTGCTGCTATCCTTCGAAGGAAACTACGGAAACTAGATGTTACTTTTTTCATGAGTAAATTTACTGAAAGTTTTGGATTGTATTGTGTATGATTTTAATATTTGTTGTATCGATATAAATGCAAATCCTTACTGTGCATAAAGGTTTTCACGTATTTGTTCCATAAATCCCACTCGTGATATCACAGGTTACAACATGTCGCCGAAAATAAAATTCATACGAAGAGAGACATTTTTAGTGTCTTTCAGTTAAGGTGACCTTTGAGAGACTCAAATATGGACAATTCTGGGAAGGTCGTATCTAGACCGATTGTGCAAGGTCTACGGAGATCCCATATCGATATTAAAAAGGCCACGTGATACACTACTAATCTCCTGGGGAGATCATGTTTGTAGAGCTGCTTTTCTTAAATGAATCTACCCTCTCGAGAAGTTTATTTATTTCACGAAAGCCTGTTTACATTAGCCGCGGCCTCTATTATAGCCGATGTCGTTGTCGTCGTCCAATTTTTGGGTGGGAGACAGGACAAGTGCCGGTCGAAAAGGAAATTAAAATGGCAGAGAAAGAAATAAAAGAATGATGAGTGGAAAACAAAACAAAACAAAAAAATGGGGCGATGCAACAAAGCGTAAATAAGAACCGGATTCAGTGAGTTGTTTATTTGGCTCAGTGATGTGTGCATTTGACTCCTGGCTGAAAGTTCTGAAGTTCAGTACTAAGATACAGATTGATGGACGTGTTCCAACTTTTAAAGAATTATGATATTCAGATAGGTACCGGCTATCAGCGCTGAAATTGGAATCGGCAAGCTAAGTGCAAATTCCAGTCTAGTCACTTGAACTCACTTTTTCGGTAATTTTCTTGGGAAAGGCGTGAATCCACGTCTACTCTCCACCAGCTATGGGTTAAACAGTATGTTAGATTGGGATCTCTATGAGAAAGACTACTGAGATGAAAACCTGTGAAAAAGCAATACCGCTCTACTATCTTTCCTAAGAAGTCGAGAAAATTCACAGATAACAAAGAAAACGCAGTCTGTGGAGGGCCATGATCGCCTACGACCTAAAAGTGCATGGCATTAAAAGCCAAGTCAAATACGATTAAAACCCTTTATACCATGGATCACAAAACTTTTTTTCACAGAGGGCCAGATAGCTGAGAGAAAAACGAGCGCCGGCCGGATAACCATTTTATTCAATACAATACACTAAATGCACAAAAAATAAAGAATAACAAACATATTTATTTGCAAAATAGTTGTCAAAAGAAGACGACATTAGCAATAAAATAGTTATATCACACTAAGTGCGCGAATCTCACAAACTAAGCAGCAAAAAAAGTGAGATTTGTGAAAGTGAACGTGAACGTGAAAAGAAACTTCAAGACGATGATCTGTCTCTTCATTCAGTTATGTGCCATGCGTGTTACACGCTTAGGCGATCATGTATCTTTCGATACATGACTAACGAGGCAGATTTTTCCCACAGTAGGTTGCCATTTTTTCTGTGGTAGACCAGTTGCCATCTAAGGCTATAGAACTCGGTTTGTCCTGCTATTTACCCATAGCTGAGGAGAGAAGAGGAGGATTCATACCTTTCCCAAGGATATTAGCACGTAAATGAATGTAATGGATTCGACTGGAATTCCGATTCACCAATCCGAGTCGCTATGCATTACTCCACCATTAAAATTCCTTCTATTTTTTTCTTTTTTTTCTCAACTATCTTTGCCAAGTATAAACTTTTTCTCATGTGGCCTCTTTCTATCTGTTGCCCAGTATTAGCCCCTTCAAGGTTTTGGTGTACAATGGCGGAATGGATCGAAAATCTCTGCCGGGAAAACTTGTAAAAGGGCATAGTTAAAAGGACCAATTTAATACCAAAACGTAGTCAAAGGAAACAAATAAAAGTAAAGATTTTAGGCAAATAAAATGTTACATCTGTTTAATATTGTTAATAATTTATTTATGTTAATGCAGTCAAAATACAAATACTAGAAACTTTTAATAATTTTATAATAAAAATGAACATTTCAATCATAGAACAACCAATTTGAGTAATTTACAAATCAAAATTTATAATTGTTTCAAAGTATAATTTAAACTTGGAGTATAACACGTCTTTGACCGGGTCTTTCATTACTGGGAATTTTTGCCGTTCAATTGGAGCAGTTTAAGCCCATCCGAAAATCAATATTAGTAACAACATTTGGGTGCAACTGAGGCACATCCCCAAATGAGGGAGGATAACAATTTGAAGGGGGGGCTGAAAAGTGAACTGTATAATAATAAATATTATTGTAATAATTTAAACTATTTATTTTTATTAAAGTTTTTATGAAAAGTATATATCCAAGAATAGATAGTAAATAGTAAAATGTTGTTGAGAGTTATAATGGACAGAAAGTAGTGGAGAGCCATTGTCGCCAACAATTTGAACTCAAAACTGGCACTGAAGAATTATCTATCAAACAAAAAAAAATTCATCGAAATCTGATGAAAACTGTGGAAATGCATAAACAACATCCGATCACACACATTTTGAGAATTATAAATATAGATCGGAACGTGCGCATTTTTTAATGTATGCGTATATCACTACAATAGTCAAAATTCTGTCATTTGCAAAGCACGAATCTCCGAGGCAGCAAACAATCTAGAAAACAGTCTCGATTTTTCCACAAGAAAAGGAACAATAACATCCACAGAAATTTCAGAATGTAAATCTTTTTTCGATGCTCATCAACATAAAAGTTTCAGGCAGCTGTTATCTATTATCTACCGAAAGATATGCTAGCATCAAAAAAGCCTTATTTAAATCTTCCCAGCATCTACGCAATATTTTTCTTTTTTTTTTCTTTTTTTTTTTTCTTTTTTGTAATTTTTCCTTTTCGTTTCGGTTATTTCTGAAGTGACGGATCATCACTTTGGGGCCCACTGGGAAATTTACCGGTATCCGGTGGGCCAGTCCGCCACTGCAGATGTATATGGTATATTGTTATGCCACATTAGTAATCAGGAAGTACGAATAATAATGTTCTAATTACTATAGTAGTTAGAATATAATTATTGGGAAAATAGATACCAGAAACTGATATTTACCGAAGTCATTTTTATCCTTACCTTAGGATATAAAATACAACAAAATGCATACTTTATGTATTTAGATATTTCTGATTCAACACCTCTTAAAACTGGATATTATCAGTATTGAAATCTATGCTTAGCTTCGTCTGACACAAAGCCGCATTAATGGAGCATTATTTTAACAGATATAGCCACCGTAGGAAAAAAATAAATTTCGTCTGTCAGTGAACCTGTCAACCTCTCAACGCCTTAAATAAACAGCTACCAATGTGTTAAAAATATATTTCTGCGGTATTTTAAACTTAAAGTAAGTAATATTTCTTTAAAATCAGATTAATTAAACTTTAAATCAGCTAATATTTCTCAAATAAAGTTTCGGAATATTATATTTTATTTTTGAAAGATTTTTGAATAAAAAGAATTACATCGTGATGACGGATGGTTAAAAATGGTACTAAAATCAGTGGTTTTAGGTATTTAAAAACAAAAAATCATTCAGCCAATTTACGTTAATTTTCAAATACAGAAAAAAGTATTTTGTTTTTGGAAATATTAAATTTAATCTATTAGCTTGAAATTAAAACTAAAATAAAAGCTTCAAGAAAAAATTTTCATTTTTGAAAATTCATTTTAAACTTTAGGTATCGCATTTCTGTGGAGGTATACACTCACAC